TCTAGATGGATAAAGTTTCGAACTTTATCCATTAAGACTCTCCAAGAGATCAAGATCTCAAACCCTAGGTCCAAAAAGGCAAAACATGACATGGACTTAACCATTATTTATTAATCTCTAAATTTCTCAATCCATCAATTCCAAAAGAGTTTCTAACACTAAAACTAACATAAAAGTTGGAGCTTTATAAACATGCATGTCCAATGCATGTCTTGAACTCATATTAGGTTAAAAAGGAGGATTCTGACCAAAAATCCCATGCATGGTTCAAAATCCAACCATACTTTAGATCCAAACCATCAACCACTCCAATTGTCTTAGAGACTCATAAAGTTGCAAACTTTATGGGATCTCACCATCCCAACTAACAAGAACAAGAAGATTATGGGACAAAACTAAAGATCTAGCAACTTAACAACATAAAGTCTGAGTCTTGGACACTTACAGAGGTCTAGAAATGTGCTAGATTGAGAAATAGAAACTTGCTTGCTGGATCTTGGATCACTTTCTCTTCCTTCTTCCTTCTAAATCTTCCAAAAAGCACCAAAATAAGCATCAAAAATAGAGTAAAGGGATTAGGGTTTCTTCAGAGCTTAGGAGGGAGATGGAGGCTGAGGATGAGCAAACCCTAGCCTCCTTATTCATTTAAATAAGTTGCAAAAAACCGTAAAATTAGGGTTTAAATCACTAGTGGCGGCCATACTGTGGCCTATAGACTGGCACACCGCGATGGGTCAAAAGAAGTATGCATCTAAAAATGCCTCGCCACGTCGTGGTGATCCTTCACCATGCCGTGGAAACTCCAAAAAGCCAAAATTTAATTAAATAAAATGTACCTTAAGATTCGGATGATACAAAATAGTATTTATATTAATATTTGTGATTTCATCTTCTAAAAATCTAAAAGTTTATCAAATAAACAAGAGACCAGACAATATTTCATCTTCTAAAAAACTCTTTAACTACATGGAATAGTGAGTTATGTTGCTTGAGGAAATAAAGTAAAAGTAGGTAAAGTTGTGAAGTCATTGTGTGATTTATAGTAAACATTAGGAAATGCTATAAAAAATTTTCATATGTCATCTCAGACTATATATCTAACATCAATAAAAGCGAAAATCCAGATCCACATAAATGATACATTAAAGTGTTATGTCATTTTATGATTCTCTACATATAACGTAGTTAGATCCATGATATAGGATGATTTAAAAATTTCAATGTATATTGTTGATGCAAGAAAGTTAGTTGGAAAATATAATATTTCCATGGAGACTCATTTCTACTATATTCATAATTACATATGACTAATGTTATTGTAAACTCTTTAATACTTATGTATGTATTCTTGTTGTATTGATCAATTAGAAATGGTTTTCTCAAAAATATATATCAATTTTGTTGACATATGGTCATGTACAAGAGGTAGCTAACCTCTTCTACAAGCGGACATGTCTAGAATACCACAGTACACCTTAAATCATCGTAACACCATTTTCTATGGGCTTTTGAGGGACACACACAAGTCATTTTCCGTCTAAATGAATGCATATGGATTCATGTAAAAACATCTTTTAAAATGTTCTTACTTTTTTCTCTTTATAAAACTCTTTTATGAAATCATTTTCATTAAATGCACACGTAATTTCACAAATATAAAGCATACCAAGTAAAGAAGAAAAATCTTTAACTAAATTTTAGTATAACGACATCAAAATCTTGTTGTTATGGAATATGTATTCGATACTACTTACCTTTGTAGAAATCCATGGTATTCTTCACTTGTTAAGCTTTGTAAACCTCTCAAAAACCACCTATTTCCTTTAATAAAAAATTATTACTAAATGACCATAGTACACCTAAAGTTTTATTGACATATTAGACACCTTCGAATAGCGTATTTCCATCCTAAAAGCTTATATATAAAATTTGGGGTTAATCGAGTTGAATACTAGGTCAAAACAGTTTTAGTCTTTCCATTTACAGAAGGCAACATGGCCCGTGTTATTTGGCACTAAAGTGACATTCCCCGTGTTAGTGACATGTCTCGTGTTCGTGTGCATGTAACCCAAAATGTAGTTTTTTCTCATTTAAGCCATGTACTTTGCATTCTAGACCTCCAATGACCACTAAACTTCAATAAATGATTATAATGAACTAATTAAGGATTAATAACATAATATAAACTCAATTAAGTCTTATTTTTCCCATGAATTAATCATTAAGACATTCTAGATGTCATATAAGCTTTAAGGTTGCTTATATGAGCATCACAAGTTAACCAAATGTCTTAATGGCCTCAAATGATCAAATCATAACCAATTATTTATTTGAGCTCATTATCCATAATTTGATTCATCATCTGAAGTGGTATCAAGTAATGGAGCTTCCAACAATGGAATCCATGGGATGTAATTGGGGATTCCATTCCATGAAATTCTAGCAAAACTAGATCTAAATGAGTTTGCATCAATTGATTCACTCCAGGACTACATAAGCATTACCAAAAATCTAATCCATATATGATTTGGTTTGAATCAATGAAATCGCAAGTTAATCATCCAAACCCTCATAATGCATGATTCATGGAGTTTTTCCTCCATTAATGGAACTTGGAGCTCCATAACTCAACCAAAGCTTCATTAGGATCGAATGGAAGATGATTCAATGAAGGATAGGAGGTCTAACAACATTTTGACAATGAATCAAGTATTAAATCATCAAGCTGATCACTATCATCAGGTTTGGCTCATAACCAAATCCTAGGTTCGAATTTAAGGAAGATGAGAGTATAAAGATGTTACCTTAAGTGCTTTATTGAATCCTTAACTTCCTAATCCTTTGATTGCTTCAAAAATTGGCTCTAGATCCTCAATTCCCTCTCAAAACCGTCAATGGTATGTTCTTCCCCTCTCCAAAACATGATCTCCTCATTCAAGTAATATGGGATAGCCCTTAACTAGCGACCAATTTATGAAAGTTGGCAATATTGGCCCCTCCCCACCAATATTTCTCATTTTTGATAGCCTCCTAACCAGAAACTTGTAGAAGTTCATTTTTTTTATACTTTGGCTACTAAATCATCCTCTCCTAGTCAAATGGAACTTGACTAGTCAACACTTGGTCAAATAGTTTGCCAATTGGCAAGATTAGTCCTTCTAATTTAAACTTTAGCTTGAAAATCCATTATTAATCATATTTTAATTTCCCTTAAATTGATACTTGATTTTTCATAACAGATACGATCTTAATTTATTTAATTAATTGTTTATTATTACTATTTTATTTATTTAAATTATATCCATCATTTTAATTTCTTATAAAAAATGGCAAAATTCCTAGGTCTAATTTTAGAATGTTACAACATCGCTAGGGGAGCGATGAATATTTACTGGCTATAAGATAAGGAAAGTATCTTTGACCAAGAGCAAAGAGAACTCCTCTAGTCGATAAGAAAGTATCACTCATCCGACCTATTGGTCTCTCGAAGTGCGAAGGCACTAATGATGACAATTTATCATTTTTCTTAATATAACTTTTGACAAATTTCATATAATGTTTTAACAAACTTGAATAATCTATTTTGATGTTTATATAATATTCGCCTAAAAACGTTTAAAATTTTCTAAAACTTCTATACACACTTTTAATAAAAAATAATGTATGGCGTAGACATCTAAAATATGTCGGGTAATTTTAACAAAATACATGTTTTAAAATATAAAAATTTGAAAAAATTGGTCCTTGTGGTTTGTGATTGTCTTTGAATATAGTTCATAAACTTTCCAACATGCAGATTTGGTCCTTATTGACGACTTTTGTTGTGATTTTGGTACCTCATCGACTTCTAAAAAAAATACTATTTTGCACTTCTAATATTTTTAATAGTTTTTTCTATTTAAATTTAAGTTTTATTAAATAAAAATATATGGGATCCACACCCACACCACCTCTCTCTCTTTCTCTTATATAAACTTCAAAAAATCATAAAAAACTCACAAATTGATTCCTTGATTCCTCTTAAACTTTTACTTTGATTTCAGAAGCATTAACCCAACAACATGATTTCTAGGTTTTTGATTTCTACAAACAATATAAACAACATGAACAGAAACACACACACACAAGATGCACATATTTACGAATAATATTGATTTCTAGAAACAAGATAGACACAAGGACAAACACACATACACAAATACAATTTTATAACACAAACACATACATACACACACACACATTCAACCAAAATTTCAGAACTCAAACAAGATTGTTACAAACAAGACTTCTGGAAACTTTATTTCTTCACAAGAATCAAAGTTAAGATACAAATCGCGTTTGTTTGTGTTCTAAACGCTTCATCGATCTTCACTCCTGGACTCTCATCTTCTATATCTAAGAAAGGAGGAGGTGGAGAGATCAAAATGTCTAATTCAAGAACCAAACGGCTAGACGATTTCAACAAGTCGTGAACCAGAAACAAACACTAGATGAACACCACTACCACTGTATTATATATGTTGGAGATTATTGAAAGCCGAAATCATATCCCTCAACTGGGAACCACAAACCAAGCCTTTAAGTTGGAAATAGTTAACATAACCCTTAAACTGGTGTTGCAAATCACAAACCTCACCCCTTATAGTTTGCCCAAATGGCCCGAAACTAATGCTAGGAGATAGGGATTCCATAGATAAAAAGATGAATTAGATGATCTTCATAAAGAACATAAAAGGAAGAAGATGAGGATATGTGGTCTTCATAGAAGTGTTGTAGGTATAGGTTCCATATTTTTTATTCAATGAAACTTGAAATTAAATAGAAAAAAAAGTATTAATTTGCATAAGGGTTTCGTGTGCGTCCTCCGACAATTTCGGAGGCCCTTCGTTGTCGTTTACGGAGGGATCAATCGCCATCGACTTCTTCTGATCTTCTTGGTGTTCTCGATGGTTGTTAATGAGCAGGTTTATTATTCGTACCCTGTTTTAGTGAATCAGAGAATGGTCGACAGTGTCTCTACGCCATTCTACGTGACTAACTTTCCTCCAGATGCTGATGTCAAGTCGTTATGGGACGTCCGTGATAAGGTTGGAAAGGTGGTTGATGTATATGTGGCTCAGAAATTATCAAAAATTGGTAAGAGATTCGCCTTTGTTCATTTTCTTAAAGTTAAAGATGAACTAGTGTTTTAACGAAAACTTAGGGAGATTTGGATGGGATCATATCATTTGTTTGCTTCTGTGGCTCAGTTTAGTCGGGATGTTAGTAATAAGGGAGGCTCGACTGTTAAGGGACATGTTATTACTCTTAATTATAATGATCAGGTGCTTCGGTCAAAAGTGCATGCTGATGTACAAACTAGTTCTTTTGCAAATGTTGTAAAGGGTGATGTGGGTGTGAAAAACAAGAAAGGCTCAGTTCCTGTGTGTATTTTACAGGGAAAGGAGATTGATAATTCGTTGTCCATGAAAGCATCTATTTTTTGGTAAGTTACGAGACATTATATTGATTCTAAAGTTGTGTATTCTCTTGAAACAAGAAGGTTTTCCGGAAATTGTAATAAAGTTTGTTGCTAGTGATTGGATCTATATCTCTTTCGTATCGGAGGTTGCGTGTACACAGTTTAAGAAGTCTGAGGCGGTTAAGGCATATTTTTCAGTCTTTAGACCGGTTGTTAATGGTTTTTTTTGTTAAAGAGCATGCTATTTGGTTAGATTTGGTGGGTTTACCATGTTGTGCTTGGAATGATGTTGCGGTTAAAAAGCTAGCTACTATGTGGGGTGAGGTTTGCTTTCTTGAAGAGGTTGGGGATACCCCTTTGGCGGTTAAACGTGTGTGTATTAAGACTGGGAAACCTTCATTGATTCATGACATGATTAAAGTGGTTGCTCAAGGCGTTGAATATGGGGTGGTGGTGCGTGTAATTTCAAATTGGGAACCGGATATTATGGAGGAGGGAGAAATAGGTTCGGATATTCTGGATTTGTTAGGGGGGAGAAGATGCTTGTTTTGATGATGATGTGAATGATGTTATTAATGTAGAGAATGGTGATAAGGTTGATGAGGGGCAAGAGGAATCTTTTAGCACGGATAATACGCCTATTAATGGTGCTAGAGGAGCTGGGTTTGTTGATAGAAAGGGAAGATTTTTTCAAACTACTACTAAAAGAAAAGGTAATGGAGCTGTGGATGGGGGTATTTGTCCGCCTAATGTTGCTGCCACGAGAGTTGTCGCCGAAAATCAATGCAAACCGGTTGTGCCTTCACAGGTTAGGGTGGCTGAGTGTGAGCTGCCGGATGGTCCGTCCCATTTGGTGGCTGATGTGGAGGGGGAGGGGATATCCAAATCACCCTCACAGCCACTTGGTTTTAGACAAGATCAATCTTCTACTTCTCATGGATCTTCTAAGATGCTGAAAAAGAAAGTTCCGGTAGTTTTTGATGATATGGAAGATGTGTTGAAGCATTTGAAATGGGTGGTCTTCTTGGGTATGATATGGAGTCTAATAAGGAACATGTTAAAAAGATTTTATCTAGTATTGGTGTGGAACAAGTGGATCAATGAATTGTCTTTCATCAAATATATGTGGTACCGTACTTCATTTAAAAAGAAGTTGGGTTAAGGCGCTTTGTTTTCAATTTAGAGTTTCTTTTTTGGGTTTGCAAGAAATGACAATGACTCAATTTGATTTGTTCAAGATCCGAAGTATGTTGGGTAACTATAGATTCGATTTTGCTAGTAGTAGTGCTCGGGTTCGATCGGGTGGTATTCTTTCTGTTTGGGATACGAATGTGTTTGTTAAAAGTAGTGTTACTTGTACTAGCAATGTGGTTATTGTGGGAGGCTTATGGATTCCGTTTAATATTAATTGTTTTATGGTTATTACTTATGATCCTCAATACTTAGAGGGAGAACAACATCTTTGGGGGTATCTCTCGGCTTTCATGAGAAGTAATGGGGGTAATTATGTCTTTTCTGGTGATTTCAATGTTGTCAGGGAGGCGGGTGAAAGGTTCGGTTCTGTCTTATGTTCAATTTCCGCCCAGCCTTGTAACGACTTCATTGAAGATGCTGGTCTTATTGATGTACCTATGGTAGGAAAGCGGTTTACTAGAGTTGATACCATAGGTGCTAAACTTAGCAAGCTTGATCGGTTCTTGGTCTCGGATGCGTTTTCTGATCGTTTTGATCATCTTCAGGTCACAGTGTTAGATAGAAAATGGTCGGATCATTGCCCTATTTTGCTTCATTCGAATACGGTTGACTTTGGGCCTTCTCCTTTTAAATTCTTCAATTCTTGGCTTTCTTTGGAGGGTTTTGAAGATGTGGTTAAAGGAGTTGTGGCTGATTTTATTAGTAATCCGGCTTGGAGTAAGTTTGTTGTTTTCAAAAACAAGCTTAAGTTTATTAAAGCTAGGATTCGTTCCTGGAAAGCGGAGTCTAAGTCGGTTGCACAACTCTCTTCTTCTCAGTTGTTGGGTCGTTTGGTAGATATTGACAACTGCATTGATGATGGTCAATCTAGTACTGACATTATTTGAGAAAGAAGAGGAATTCTTGGAGACTTGGCGAATTTAGAAAAAGTCATATCTCTTGATGTAGCTCAAAAGGTTAGATCTACTTGGGATGTGGAGGGGGATGAGAACTCTGTATTTTTTCATGCTTTATTGAAAAAACACAGAAGACAGTTGGTGATTGGAGGGGTTACTATTGATGGGGAGTGGATCTCGAAACCTGCTAGTGTTAAAAAGCATTTTTTGATTTTTATGCAGCAAAGTTTCAGCCTTTTCTTGGTGTTAGTTTGGACCGTCGAAGTCCTAGATCCAACTCTCTGGATCCGAGAGTTGCTTCTTCTATTGAGGCGGGGTTCACGGATGAAGAGATTAAAAATGCTATTTAGGATTGTGGTGTGGATCATGCCCCTGGCCCAGATGGTTTTACCTTCCGGTTTCTTAGACATTTTTTTGGAGATTCTTGCGGATGATGTTATTGCTTTTGTGCAAGAGTTTTTTTGCCAAACCTGCTTTCCTAAAGGGGTGTAACTCTTCGTTTATTACTTTGATTCCCAAATTCGATAATTCACTTTGTGTCAAGGATTATCGCCCTATTAGTCTTACCGGTTGTTCGGCTGGAGCTGTTCCCTTTGTTTATCTAGGTATCCCGGTTGGAGAATCTATGGTTTGGCTTAAAGGATGACATATTATTATCGACATTTTTAAGAAGAGGTTATCTTCTTGGAAGGTCAAGTTGTTGTCCATTCGAGGTCGTCTGACTCTTATAAAATCGGTTCTCGGGAGTTTGGGTATTTATTTTTTCTCTTTGTTCCATCTTCCTGCCACTGTTTTTCATTCTCTAGGCCTCGAGGGCTCGGTTTTTTTGGGGTGTTGAAGAGGGTCAAAATCGTATTCATTGGGTTAATTGGAATTTGATCTTGAATTCCTATGCTCAAGAAGGTCTTGGAGTTGGTAGTTTGGATGCTTTTAACCTCGGCCTTCTGTATAAATGGAAGTGGCGGTTTTTTAATGATTCGGGAGCTCTTTGGGTTAAAATTGTCAAATTTTGTCATGGGGAAGGTGGTAGTTTCTTGGATGATCGGAGAATAGGCTTTGGAGCGGGTGTTTGGCAAAATATTGTCGGATCCATTAATCATCTTCATGAGAATGGTTGTATCCCTTCTAATTTTAAGTATAGAGTGGTTGTAACATCCCAAAAATACAGCCCAAAAATTTCATTCTAATACATTAATAAAAACCATAAGTATCATCAATCATATAAAAAGTCATAAATCGTGTATCTCGAAAATATCATAACATCTGTCAATGTATCAAAATCATATGTCAAAACATCATAGTGACTACTCCCAGGCTAAAAGTTGTGGTGCGTGCCATGCAGTCATCCCGAGCTCTTCCCCTTACTAGCGGAAGTACCTGAAACCAAAACTGAAAACTGTAAGCACGAAGCTTAGTGAGTCTCCCCAAACTACCACATACCATGCACTTAATCACATAATCGCATATAACATACATTGGGCCCCGCCCTGCTACATCGGGCACTGCCCGTCATCGGCTTGTCAGGAGTCGGGCCCCGCCCGACATCAGACGGCATCTGACATCGGGCCCCACCCGGCATCGAGCAAAGCTCGGCATACATATGAGCATAACTACTAATGCACATAACATAAGCATAAACACTTAACTACATACATAACTACTAATGCACATAACATATGAGTAAAGCTCGGCATCGAGCAAAGCTCGGCATTGGACCGAAATCCGGAAGCATACAAACATTCCTCGGGAACCACCCCGACATCGGACCGTAGTCCGGAAACATACATACATATTCATGCAAGAATCACAAAGACATCAAGAATACTAACATTCTTCGGGTACCGTCCTGGCATCGAATCGAAATCCGAAAAAAACATATAAACCTAAATCGGGCCCCGCCCAGCATCAGACCTTAATCCGGAACATACTAACATACATAAAGGGGTCGGCCTTGGTGCCTTCGACCCGTTCCTACTGTAGGAAAACTCACCTCATAAGCTAGCTGTGAAATCTCGCGTGAGGAATCTCTAACGGCTGCTCCAACGAATCCCCGACTATCATTATCACAATAACACTTAGTCAAAACCTGATAATCCTTCTTAGGGTAAAATGACCATTTTACCCATGGTCAAAGTCAACATTCTGGTCAAAGTCAACATTCTGGTCAAAGTCAATGTCCTGGGTTGACTCAACTCGCCGAGTTGACTCATCAACTCGCCGAGTTCTATAAATCAAAACCCTGATATCGCGATCCAACTCGTCGAGTCATCCCCATGACTCGCCGAGTTCCCTGACTACTTATAGTCGCGATTTGGCGAATCAACTCGTCAAGTCCCTTCACAGACTCGTCGAGTTCTACCTTAAACTGAATTGGGACATAACGACTCAACCCGTCGAGTCCCTCACTGGATTCGCCGAGTTCCTCAGTCTATTTGGCCATCTTAAAGGATTAAGCCCCTACTCCTTAGATCTAAGCTCCATACCTCATCTACATACTGGAAATGCCCTTTTTAAGGGTAAAGTTTCCAACTTTACCCACTACTAGTACTTCTTAATGGGTTTAGCTCAAACCCTAGTCCTCTAGAACATAGATCTTGGTCCAAAAGCCATAATACTCCAAACTAAAGCATACTAACATAGATCTAGGCCTTAGACATCATTTAAAGACGTAAAGCTCCTAACTTTCCTTTCATGCATGGCCTTTTAGGGCTTAAAAGACCATAATAACACCTTAGAGCTTGCATGGGGATCCAATGGCATAAATTTTGCACCTTTATGCCATAACAGCCCTTAATGATTCTAGATCTGGAAGGTAGATCACTTGGGACGTCCATATCCTAAGGACTAAGCTTCTTGGACCAAAACCCCATGAAATGGTAAGAAGGAGATCTAACAAGCTAGTAAGCAAGGTTGAGGCTTGCTTACCTAAAAATGAAGAGGATGAGAAGTTGCTTCTGGATCTACAATCTTCTCCTGGAATCCTCTAGCTTCTTCTTCTACAAGCTTCAAATCACACAAAGTTCACTCAAAAATGGCTCACAAGCTCACACAAAGGTCTAGGGTTTCATGGATTAGGGTTTGGGACTTAGAGGCTGGAAATGAGGCCATCAAGTGGGGAGTAAGATGCTTAAATAGGGTGCAAAAACCTGAAATTAGGGTTTCATTCTAGAAGACCTTATTGCCGAGTCGAGGCTCTCAACTCGTCGAGTAGGTGGCTTATGATCCCGTGTCCAATATCGTTTCTACTCAACGAGTCTGGGGCTCCCAACTCGTCGAGTAGCTCTTCAAAAATGAATAAATTATAATTAAATGCGTACCAGGAATCAGACGTTACAATTCTCCCCCACTTGTCTTAGATTTCATCCTCGAAGTCTACTGCGTCGGGAAACAACTCCGGGTAGTGCTCCCCCATCTCCTCCTCGGGCTCCCAAGTCCACTCGGAACCCTTGTGCTGCTGCCATTGCACCTTCACCAGCTCAACCCTCTTGTTCCTTAGCTCATTCGTCTTCTTGTCGAGAATAGCTACCGATCTCTCGATGTAATTTAGGCTATCATCAACCTGAATATCCTCTAGGGGCACAACCACTAAGTCATCCACTAAGCACTTCCGTAACTGAAAAACATGGAAAGTGCTGTGGATCTGGCTGAGCTCTGCTGGAAGATCCAAACGGTAAGAAACCCGGTCCACTCGAGCCAACACCCTGAACGGAGCGATGTATCTGGGGCCTAGCTTGCCCCGCTTCCTGAACCGGATGACACCTTTCCAAGGTGACACCTTCAGGAGGACCATGTCGCCCACCTGAAACTCCAAGTCTGAACACCACTTGTCGGCATAGCTCTTCTACCGACTCTGACCAGTCTGGAGCCTGCTCCGGACCTGTTGGATCCTCTCAGTAGTCTTGAGTACTACTTTAGTACTCCCCATGACTCTCTGTCTGACCTCACGCCAACAGATTGGGGTCCTACACTTCCTCCCATAGAGCATCTTGAAGGGAGGTCGATCTATGCTAGCGTGGTAGCTATTGTTATACGAAAATTCCGCTAACAGAAGATATGTATCCCAACTGCCATCGAAATCCAATAACCATGCGCGTAGCATGTCCTCGAGAGTGTGAATCTTCCTCTCGCTCTGTCCATCCGTCTGAGGGTGGAAAGCGGTGCTGAAGTGGAGACGAGTACCCATCTCGTCGTGAAACCGCTTCCAAAATCTGGAAGTGAAACGGACATCCCGGTCTGACACCACCGAGACAGGCACTCCATGTCATGCCACTATCTCACGCATGTAGATCTCGGCCAGCTTCTGAACCGATATACTCTCTTGGATCGGGATAATGTAGGCACTCTTGGTCAACCAATCCATGATGACCCATATCGAATCTACTCCACGTGCGGTCCTGGGAAGCTTCGTAATGAAGTCCATAGTGATATCTTCCCATTTCCACATGGGAATGTCTAACAGCTGCATCTTGTTGTGGGGTATCTGGTGCTCGGCCTTGACCTTCCTGCAGGTCAAGCACCTCTCTACATACCATGCTACGTCCCGCTTCATGCAGGGCCACCAGTAATCAGGGCGAATATCCCAAACATCTTCGTCGCCCCAGGATGGATGGAGAACCTCGACTTGTGGCCATCATCCATCAGAACCTCTTGTACTCTGCCCCGGTACGGAACCCAGACCCTTCTATGCAGGGTCAACAGTCCATGGTTGTCATTGTCAAACGAGGCCGCCTAGCCTATGATCCGCTCGCAATTCCGACGCTCCTCCTTCAGGCCCTCGACCTGCGCCTACAGGATCTGCTCTAGCAACGGAGTAATCACTGTCATCCTCAGACATATATCTCGAATCAGAACCGCCACTGCCTTGCGACTCAGAGGATCGGTCACCACATTGGCCTTGCCCGGGTGGTAAAGGATCGGACATTTTTAATCCTTTACCACATCTAGCCACCGACGTTGCCTCATGTTCAGATTCGGTTGATCCATGAGGTACC